TTAAAATATTATTGTATACTATGGTGTACTATATTATACTAAGATGTACTATGGTGTACTATCGGTTTTACACTATTATTAAAAAAAATATTCTACATAATATTGAAAATTACAAAACCTAGATTTATGATTTTGAACCCAAATCAAGCAAAATCTCTTGAAGATCAAGATCAAATCTCCACCATAACCACATCACCGCCGCCACAACCACCACAACCCCTCGCCGCCATCTCGACCACCACAGCCCGCCGCCTTGATCACCACAGCCTTGTTGGGATGTGAAGCCCAGGATTCAATGAAAATTCGCAAGAGGTTCTAGATTAGCTGGTTTTAATTTTATTAAGATGCTTTGATTAGTTTCATTTAAATCGGAATAAATCTAATCTATCAACTTACAATTTTCGCGAGCAGATTCGTTTCCATCTTCGGCGCACGAACGAGGATCCACACCAAGCCCTCAATCCTCGAAAAACTGCTGTCCAGGCCCTTTTCCATCACCAATTTCTCCGAGATGGTTGATCTGATTGAGAAACCCCCGTCAGACTGACTGTACTACTTTGGGTTGGGAAGCTACTTTATAAATTTCAAGCCTATCGAATGAACGGTTGATTTATGGTGAATTTCTTCGCATGAATGCTCAGACAATTCAGGAATTATAGTTTGCTCTAAAAACCTACAATCTTCTATTGTATATCCATGATTAATAATTCTTCTACAAGGTGGACTTGTACTTGAAAAAATCTAAATCTATAATCGAGAAATTTAGAAAGAAAAGAATAAGAGAAAAAAATTCTCCTCTCGAACGTGAATAGGCGTGTACTCATCATTGTCTCTCTCATCAACCTAATCTCTATTATATATAGCAAAGGGAATTAGAGTCACACATAGAGAGGATTACATGGAAACAAATCCCACTTCTTCTATAACTCTATATAGTCGAAAATTTCAATCCAATAGGGACTTAATTTTCGGCTATATTAATTTCAATATATAATATTGGTTAAAATTTAATTTATTTTCTCGATTAATTAGAAAATCCATTCGGCTACAATAGGGACTATAGGAGAAAATATAAACTGGGCAACTAATAATTAATTAAATCCAAACTCTTAAAAGAATTCATTGAATTAATCATTCAATAATTATTTATTTCCACTACCAAAATAACTATTGAACTCCCGTTTATATTCTCAAATATTACACTCGAGCTCCGGTCGATCATTACTTAGATTCTCCCCACATTAAGATATCTTCTAACCACAAAATAATTTATTGACTGCTAAATAAATTATATGGTTTCTTTTCATGAGTCTTACCCGCTTAACTTATTTGAGTATGCCGGATACGAAATCCACCTGGCCAGGACTTGGCATAAACAAATCTTATAAGCTACTCAAGGGTTATTATCAATCTCATATTTCAGAGATGTGGATTCCTTTCGATAATTAATTTCCACCTATTTAATTCCTAATGTCTCTACCCAACGCACCGGGGGCCATTTGACTCAATGTACGAATCTCTCCCATTGTGACATCAAAGCAGAGATCATCAATTAAATATGTATAATAATTATCTAGGGATTAAAAGAGTAAGTAATTTACTGTCAACTAGAACTAATATAGTTTCATTTTGAACATAAATGAAACAATTATTTCACTTTGTCCGGTTCAACACATGTCGGGTGTGCTAGCACAATAAGTCAAAACAATAACTACAAAAGTTATTCCCTGTTTACTGTGATCAAGACTAATCACTTAAATATTGTGCTACAATCTTTTACCAATGGTAAGTCCATTTCCATCTAGATTGTGAACGTTTATCTTTATATTCTAAACGAACCTTCGAAATGATCTTTCTGTGCGCCGTGGCACAACATCTCGAATACTATTAGAATATTAGACTTATGCTTTTAATTAATTGACAAAAAATTAATTAAATGCATTGAACTATTTACATAAAATGATAATAAACTATTTTATTAATTCAATAATAAAATTATGTAGTTAAAAGCGAGACTTTTAGTCTACTATCCTAACAAGCCCGTCACCGCCGCCTCAACCACCACAGGCCCCGCTGCCGCGTCGACCATCACAACCCCTCGCCACCATCTCGACCACCACAGCCTGTCGCCTTGACCACCACAACCCGCCACGGCCGCCTCAAGCACCACAGCCCCCGTCGCCGCCTCGACCACCACAACCCCTCGCCGCCATCTCGACCACCACAGCCCCCCGCCTCGACCACCACAGCCCGCCGCTGCTGCCTCCTCCACCGCAGCCCCCGCTGCCGCCTCCTCCACCACAACCCCTAACTCGGCTACTACTGAATAAATTAGCAAAAGGGAGGTATAGAGATAGAGAAGTGAGAAAGAGAGAGAGAGAGAGAGAGAGAGAGAGAGAGAGAGAGAGAGAGAGAGAGAGAGAGAGAGAAAACGAGAGTGAAAAACGATACGGAGAATGTGTGAGAGATGGAGGGAGAGAGAGAGAACGTGAGAGAAACTAAGAGAACGAAATAAATCTGAATTGGAGAAACGTGAATATGTAAGTTATATAATTTAGGGTATAAGGGCAAGATAGGGATAAAAAAAATTAGGGATGTGACTCATATATTATTTCAAAGTAAGGATTTAATTAAAAAAATGAATTTAAACTTGTCATTTATTTCAAATTAGGTTTCGTTTGAGTGGCTCATAGCATATTACCCCTATTCAAAAATGTATTTTTAGATAGGATTGGAATAACTACTATGTTTGGTAAGCTTTTCAAATTCTTTTCATTCTTTCCCCAAAATAACATTATCTTTCTGAAATATTTTCAAAAACTTTCCCCAAAACGAATTCAATTTTTTCTCTCTCTCCAACAGACATGATTTGACTGCTACAGTGAAAATTGTTTTCACTACATTACAAACTAAAATCATTTTATCCTTCAAATTCTTCTTCCAAAATACTTTTTTCCAACACCTTTCAAACATGATTTGACTTGCTACAGTACAAATTGTCTCCTATCAAAACACAAACAAACTTTATTTTATTTTTAAATCTTTTTCCCAAAACATCTTTCTCCAGAATAAAATGGAAATGGAAGCTCAAAAGTTTACCAAACATAGCCTAAGTTTTGCAATTATAAATCTGGAGGGAATGTTTTAAAGTAGGGCACTATTTTCTTCTTAAGGAGGCTAAAGTTTTAATGAGACTCGATTATATACAGTCTTTTCAGAGACGATAAAAAATTTACTGTCTCCCCTCTTCCCAAAAACAAAATACTGATTCTTATGGGATAGATATATATGATTCGAAGTCACATATGATTTTGACGGCTTCATTTGTTCTATCGCCCACTAAGACATTATTTATTATGAACCAAAGGTGTTGGTGAATTCTAGCTTCTCATTTTTCACAACATAAATATTCACGAAAACAATCGTCCAATGAATCCCAGAGTGCAGATTACGAGGATGAGAGCTATGAACCCTCCTTATGACGACTTCAAACTGAATATATATCAATAAGTCCTGATGCATCTAACTACTTTTCCCTTATTAGTGTTCGACGCAATTTCTTCATGCCAAATTTACCCACCCGCACTATTCACTATCCATTACCTACTACTTGATGCCGTTTTCATTTCATTATTTTAGTATTTGTTTTATTCACTTATTTAAAAACATTAAATATTTTTTTTAAATAACATTTTTTCAATGGGGGCAACTATTTTAAATCCCAACTTTTGCTTACTTGAATACTACCAAGTTGAAAACCACAATTGTGTACATATTTATAAGTTTTTTTCTTACTTTAATACCAAAATAAAAAGAAAAGTACAAAAATACCCTTTCATACAAAATATTAATTATATCAATTATTCTTTGAAATTACCTATTTGAAAACCAAATAAAAAAAAAGAAAAAAAAAACTTCAAACACAAAAAACAACGGCCAAACAAACCCGAGCAAACCTCCGTCCACCCCTCCCACGCCGCCCGACGCCGCCGCCGCCCGAACCATCGCCGCCGCCGGACGCCGACGCCAAACACCGCCGAACGCCGCCCAACGTCGCCCAAAGCCGCCGCCGTCGTCGTCTTCGAATAGTAAGTAATATTTGTTTCGATTTTTTTTCTTCAATATTTATTTAAGATTTGATTGTTTTATATGGGTAATTAGGATTTGGTTGTTTTAGGTTAGAATGACCGTTAATTAGTAATGGGTGCATCTGATTTCAGTCGATTTGAGCATTGATTTGAGATTCGTGGGTCGGTTCTTCGTTCACCATTTTCGACCTGTATATGTCGATTTTTGATGAATTTTCGACAGGTTGATGTCGAAAATTCATCAAAAATTGACATATAGGTGTCGAAAAGGTGAAATCTTGAAATTGGGATTTTGGTAATTCGACAGGTAGCTGTCGAAATTTGGATGAGTTTTCGACAGGTAGATGTCGAACATTCAACCAATTTTCGACAGCTAGCTGTCGAATTCCCATGAATTTTCGACAGCTACCTGTCGAATTTGAACTGTGATTTTTTTTTTTTTTAATTTGTTTTCGTTCCTATTTTTATTTGCTTGTGTTTATATTATGTATATTAATTTTAATTTGTGTGTTATTTTGCAGTGGAAGAATCACGTGAACCTCGTATACCTCCGAATGTCTCGAACCGTAAGAAGAGGAAGGAATTATCCGATAGAGGCAAGGGCATAGCAGTCACGACCAAGAAAAAGACCACGACCAAGAAGTCTGGAGAGGGTTCTTCGTCAACGAATCCGGTGCCGGCTCTACCTTCGACTGTAGAAGTTGGTGATTCGAGCAACGAACCGGTCCGAGGTCCCGAGATACCGGAATTGTACACAAAATTTGATAAGCACATTGCTTATCATATTGTGAACGGAGGGCCAAATCGCTTGGAGCGCGGCTCAGAATTTCGAATTCGAAATCACACAGGAACTTTGAAAGGTTGGGAGCCGGCGCCGTTTATTGCAGAGGTAGTACAAAGATGTGGATTAATGTCAGTTTTACAAGCATCGTACAACACTGTGGACGGCCATCTACTTAGAGCCTTCATAGAGAGATGGCAGCCAGCTACCAACACATTTCACTTACCTGTTGGAGAGATGACCATCACACTTGACGATGTGAGTACGTTGGTCGGTTTGCCAGTTGTTGGGCGTACCTATCTTGCGAGCGTTTGATCCGTGATTCCAAAACGCAGCCCAGTAGTTTGATGTTCGAGTTGCTTGGTGAGTACCCGGACGATGTAGACAAGAAGAAAGCGGTGAAGTTGGAATGGTTGAAGTCTAAATTTAGCAAAGTGACCATGAGAGATAGTGCGGAGAAGAGGACATACGCCATTCGGGCGTATTTGTTATTTTTGCTCGGGTGTACTATACTGTGCGACAAGACAGGCAACATGGTAAGCGTGGAGTATCTAAATCTTGTATCTGATTTGGATCGGATCGGCGAGTATTCTTGGGGCACTGCATGTCTTTGCAGGTTGTACGATGAGCTTTCCTCAGCCTCACAAAAATCAACGAACTCAATGGCTGGCTGGCTGACGCTCTTTCAGTCATGGATTTACGAGCACTTTCCTTATTTGGCGGGTGGCACATTGAAGACGGAATTCGAGGGGCCATTAGCGAGCCGATGGGAGCCTCAGTCAAAGACTACTTCAACGCCTGAACGAGCGTCGTACCTGCGATCTCGATTAGATGATTTGATCCCCGATCAGGTAAAATACCAGTTTAATAATTTGTTATTACTACTTAAGTAGGTTTTTAAATCTAATTTTTTATTTATTTTACTAGGTTTTATGGTCACCGTATACGGCTATTCGTGATCGTTTCCCGATGCCAGATTCTGCTTGGTTTAGTGGGATGATATGTTGCATGGATCACTTCGAGGCATATCATCCGGACAGAGTGTTGAGGCAGTTCAACCGGGTGAAAATCATTCCAGGTCGTGCATACATGTCAAAAGATATGTACAAAGCTCTAGTTAGCAAAGGTCGACCGGTCCAGAACTCAATTTTCGTTGCGTACGGCGAACGATTCTCTGATCGGTGGGAGGAGTATTGTCTGGACGAGGAGTCGAGGTCCGTTGAAGTTGAACTCGGGGAGGCGGACACTTCGCCGGACTACATGAATTGGTTCCGACCCAGATGCATGTTACAACTGAGTAGGCATGAAGCCCATCCACCTCGACCCCAGGCGGATCGACCTCGACCACATGAAGCTCGTCCAGGGAGTGGTACCGATAAGGAGGTCCAACTTTCACAAATTTTGGAGTTGGTGAAGGGTACACTTAGCGAGGTGCGGGGACTTGCGCCATCCGACGCTCATACGGTCATGTGGGGGACCCTAAATGATATTGTCAGATTGATCGAGCCGGATGCCCCACTTCCACCTCCTTCGAGCTCGTCGGATGCCCCACCACCACCTCCAGGTAGCTCGATAGGGCCAATTCCACCGCCATCGAGCTCGTCCGATGCCCCACAGCTTTGGATCGCTCGATAGAGGAGGGAACGTGAGACACTGATACTTGGATAAGTAGACAAGCACAATATTGTATGTTGAAGCAATTACATGACCCATGTTTGGAAACGACATCCAATGATCACGAGTTGCAGGAACATCCCAGTTACTCACAATAGCTTGCATGCTTCTAACGGTTTCTTCGCCACGGTGCATGGTCGTGTAAGTGGAAAAATTAGAAGTCAACTCCCGTAGCATGTCATCTCGCACTCGACCCCATTCATCTTCTCCAAATCCCATCATAGAGGCAACTGCCCGAAATCCACAGTGTCCATCTGAACCGACATTGATGATTTCTCGAACGTGCATACGAAATCGTGGATGGATCGTGTCAATGTACTTATTCTTGCCGATCAAAACTGGTGGCAATCCCACATCTGCATCTTCAAATAATGGTTTGAACGACTCTTGCGTCGGTATAGTGCTTTTTCCTGACTCTTGAGTTGGTATAGTGTTAAAATAATCATTCGAGTGCCCTCGTAATCTCATCAGTACAGGTATAAGCTGCAGTATATTACACTTCATTACTCAGCACAATTATAAAATACAACTTCAATGAAATGAGACGATAGTAGCGACATTTACCTTTGGAGAACAACTAGCTTGCTTCGATTTTTTTTTTCTTTGGCTCCACATACTCAAAATGTGATTTGTCCCGAGTGCTTGATTTGTCTTTCCTATTTTTTGCCGGTCGACCTTTGCTAACAACTTTTTCACTTGGCTCCGTAAGGTTAGTCTTCTCTGGGTGGGTAAAATGTCTCAAATGGTTGCGCAATCGAGTTTTTGCATCGAGATCGGCACATTCAAAGAGCTTCTGGTATTCCGATAATTCTTCGTCGATGGTTGGTAGGATGACTTGGCCTGTGGTCGCGACGGGCTCCATGCTCATGTGTTTCCAATACGAGCCTATTAACTCAAGTGGGATAGGACATTTGTTCACAACAACATACTCATGAAGTTCATGGCGACATGGTAGACCGTGAGTTGTTCGGATGGCGCAACTACAACCCATATCGCTCGGTTGCAATAATTTCGCATTGTCCACCTCAACTTTCAGTAGTTGCAGAGCGTATTTTGAGATACTTCCACGAAGCTCATTGTATATCAACGTTTTGAAAGTGTGCTCGTAAGTATTTTTACTTACTTCAAAGGAAGCCTTGATGTCATTGTGTTGTTCGACAATTTGATTGTGGACTTTCGTATACAAATCCACAAATGTGCCAGTTGAATTATGCACATCCCTTTTCATTCGTCTGTGTGCCCCCTCCACCCTATTAGAAGTGTACGTTCCAAAATGAGTACACTTATTTGTCCACACCGATACAAGTCTCTCCTTGTACGGATCCAACCATGAATTAGCTACATATTCTATAGCCGGGAGATAACCGATAAATGTTCTTTTCAAATCCTCCTAATCCTCATTGAACTCCTCTATGGTATTTCTTTCAATAAGAGCAGAAAAACTCGACTGAAATTGCTTCCATTTGGTGATGTCCTTTGGGAACAATTTCTTACAATTGGCCACTATATTCTTGTTCACATGCCACCGACACAACAAGTGATGACTCGATGGATACACATTGGCCACTGCTTTCATTAAACCCAAATCTCGATCTGTTACAATGCAATTAGGCCGAGGACAACTGGTCATGGCCTCCTTAAAACAACGCAACGCCCATTCAAAATTTTCCGTCTTTTCGTGATCCAAGTATGCAAAGGCAATTGAGAACGTCTTGTTGGTACAAGTAAAACCCACAATCTCAAGAAATGGGAATCTGTAACGATTGGTCTTGTACGTGCAATCGATGACGAATACGTACGGATACGACTGTGCCAACTTAATGCATTTCGGGTGGATCCAAAACAAGTCGGTAATCGCATTCAACTCGTTCGATCTATGGTACGAGAGGTATTCATCTTCTTTCAACTTGACGAACAATGATTGCAATTGAGATCTCCCATCCAATTCACGGAAATTTAACTTAGAGATAGTATTGTAAACTGTCTTCATACCAGTTACATTAGACGGGTCCTTTTGCTTCAATGCTCTTAGAATTGCCCTTGGTTTCACCATTGCTTTCTTCATAGTGTGAACAAAGGAAACATTCTCCTTTGATAATCTTCCAGCATAAGAGTGTCCGTGCAAGTTTTCGAATAAGTTGTGGTTGTGAATACCACTATAAACATCCAATTTCCACTCAGCCTTTTCATTATCCTTGGATTCTTTTAACCCCTTCAATTTAAACGGACAATTGCATTTCTTTGAACCGGTGCTCCTTTTTCCCGGTCTTTGATCATCTTCACCTGGTACCTTCTTGCCAACATAATGGCCCCCACGCTCACAACGAACAATCACATACGGTGTCCTACGTCCTCTATCCCCGTCACTCGAACCCGCAATCATTATCACCATTCCAATTCTTTTACATACTTCACGAACCCATGCCAATAAAGCTTCTTTTGTTGGGAATTTTTCTGACGTGGTAAATGAATGGGTGCAATCGATCTACACAAAAGTGTCGAAAATATAAGACAAGTAAATTTGCAATATGAACAAAATTCGACACTTAGATGTCGAAAATGACTACATTTTTCGACACCTAAGTGTCGAAAATGACTACAATATTAATTGTCATCCATTTTCGACACATACATGTCGAAAATTAGGGAGATTTTCGACCTGTATGTGTCGAAAATGGATGACGAGTTTAAAAAAATAAAACAATCAAAATCGATGTTTTAGCTCAAAAAATACATGAATACATACCTTAATGGGTTCTCCTTGCTCGTAAACTACCATTCTATTGTCATTTGACGCCATTTTGCAAGTTGTGTATGGTTTTGATTTCTTTTGTTTTGAGGTTTTTTAGGAGGGTTTTTGGGGAGGGAGAAGAAGGAGGTGGAGGAGGTGAGGGGTTTGTGAGTGAGGAGGGAAATGTTTTTTTAGGGTTTTTGATTATTTGGTATTTAAGAAAGAAAAATAGTGTTTGTAATTTTTTTTTGGTTTTAATTTTCATTAAGGGCATTAAAGTAATTTACAATTAATTATTTATTTTTTAGTTTTTTGGTATTCAACTAAGCAAAATTCAGTATTTGAAATAGTGATCCCCTTTTTCAATTTATAGTTTTTGTTAAGAATCAATAACAATATTTCTAAAATCAACTATAATATTTCCAAAAATCAATTACAAATTTTTTAATTTTTTTTTTCAAGTAGGTTTATCAAATTGACAAACTACTAGATACTAGTGTTTTACCTTGTGCGTTGTACGGGCCGATATTCAAAAAAAATATAAGATAAACAAAATTAGAAAAGGGCGTGCTAAATCCTACTCTAAAAATTACTGAATCACGGACACAAATTACAAAAATTCTATCTATCTTAAAATAGTTCTCTCTCGTTTCTCTCATCACTTTATTTTCTCAAAATTATTCATAATCCATTTTTTCTTGACATAATCATCATATAAAATATTTTTAAATAATTATTAATTTATTTTTATAAGTTAATTATTAAAAAAATTATTCAATATTTAATCATTATTTTAATCATTATTTTAAAACGTTAACAACATTAGTAAAAATTTAATTAACAATAATTAAATTTTTAAGAAGATAATCAACTAATTAAAAAATAATTGAAAAAGGAGAAACCTAGGTCCTAAATCAATCCCGGCCGCCCAACACCCCCGTTCTGCATCTGCCACGGATGCACATCCATGGCAGCATTACTACAGTTGCTTCTCACATACCTTCTCACATATTCTCAAAATTCCATTAATTTGGAATGTTTTGTGTTGATTTTGTGGTAGAAGATGGGTAGGGTTTTTTTTGTGTTGGAAAAGACTATAGAGAGAGAGAGAGAAAATATTTCCATTATGTGCGTGATTTGGTAATTTTTGTGAGTGATTTATCATTTCAGAATTAGAAATTAGTAAACATATATGACATGTACAATTGCAAAACATGATCGAAAATGTAAAAATTTCACTAATTGCAATCATAATCTATATATCTATTTTAACAATAAAATTTAATACACAAATGTGTGCTATAAAAAAGGAGAGAAAAGTTAGTGCTGGAAGTAGAAAAAAAAGAAGAAAAAAATAAAAAGAAAATAATTAAAAAGAAAAAAAAAATGTGAATTTTTTTTTTCAAAGTTGATCGTGTTTAGTCGGAAGGGGAAAAAAGAAGAAAAAAAGAAAAACAAAATAATTAAAAAAATGTGTCCCATAAAAAAAAGAGAAGAAAATTTAGTGCTTGAAGAGAAAAAAAAAAAGAAGAAAAAAAAGAAAAAGAAAATATTTAAAAATAAAATATGAAAAAAATTAACGGTGTTTAGTGGGGAAGGGGAAAAAAAGAAAGAAGAAAAAAAGAAAAAGAAAACAATTAAAAAGAACCGTAACTTGTTCTATCAAAAAGGAAGAAAAAAAAAACAAATAATTTTGAATGTGCTATAAAAAAGGAGAAAATAAAGGAAATAATTATTTCACTAAAATATTTTAAAAACAAACTGCTTTTAGGGTTTTGGCGCAAACCTTTCTTTTATATATAAAGATAAAATGTGAAACAAATTAACTGTGTTTAGTGGGGAAGGGAAAAAAATGAATAAGTAAAAAGAAAAAGAAAACAATTAAAAAAACCGAAACCTGTTTTGTAAAAAAGGAAGAAAAAAAAAACAAATAATTTTGAATGTGCTATAAAAATGGAGAAAATAAAGGAGATAATAATTTCACCAAAATATTTTAAAAACAAACTGTTTTTAGGGTTTTGGGGCAAACCTTTCTTTTATATATAAAGATTATTGAAAACAACTAAAAAAATAGAAGTCAACTAGAAAAAGAATCGAAATCAGTTACAAAAAATCGAAATCAACTACAAAATGTCGAAAACAACTAAAAATATTTCGAAACAACTAATATAACAAACAACATAACCCGAAATTCTCTACAAATGAAAACAATATATTGTTGTAGGAGACACCCAACACAATTTCAACAAGATCACCCGAAAAAAGAAAAGCAGAACGATGCCTGCAGCTGGGAAGAGGTGGAAGGGGGAGATGGCGACGTGGAGGGGCCTCTCTAATACTGTAATCGGAAACCCTAGTCATATTTTGATGTTGTCTTCTACAACCAGATCCCTCGCACGGTTCCGATGTTGCAACGGCGGCTACTGCAAAATCAAAGACCAAACGACAGTGACGTTCGGTCTGTAGAAGATATAGTAGCATGAAGAGAGAAAAGGGAGGGATATAGAAAGGGAGAAATAGAGAAATATGGTTGGAATAGAGAAAATTATAGTTAGTTTGAATAGGTTTTGGGTTAATATGTACGTGACAACTAATAATTTAATAGAGTATTCAATAGGACGAATTATTAAAAATAAGCCCATGGTCGACAACTAATTCCAATTTAGGTCCATCCCCAAATCTCTTGTAAAAAAGTACAGACAAAGTTCAAAGTTGTGTAAATGACTAAAATTCCTCTCACATTTTAATATACTTCAATTTCATCCATTTAACCCCATTTAACCCTAATTTGACACAATCTCACAAATTATTCAATTTTAATCCTTAACCCAATTTTTAACTCCAATTTCGACCGTTGCCGTCGTTGAATTCTTTTTTTAAAAACTTCTTTTGCACCGCCACTGCCGGCGCTGATCGGGGATCAACGTCGGTCTCCAGCGACGTTGACCTTTTATTTACCAAAACATTTTTTGGCACTGGTACAAAAAGTAATATTAACACAATAATATTACAATAATATTGTTATATTACTATATAGCACAATAATATTAACACAACAAAAATTGCTATGTTACATAACAAATTAATGTGTAATATGATAATATTATTATGTTGACTTACCAACAAAAGCAAACAAAATAAAAATCTAAAACAAATAATATTGCTGTGGTCGATATATAGTAATTTAGTAATATTATTGTGGTTGACAATAATATAGTAATATTATTGTGGTTGACGGTAAAATTATTGTGGATTACTGTCAACTACAGTAATATTACTGTCAACAATCAGCGGTGGGCTCGAGAAAAGGAAAAAACAGTCAACAACGTCGAAGACCGGCGCGCAACGGAAAAATAATATGAAGAAAATAAATTCAAAAAAATAATAAAAGTCAATGCCGCCGGAGACCGGCGGTGGAAAATAAACATAAAGGAAAGGAAAAAAAAACAAAAAAAGTTTAACAGTCGCAGGTCTCGGACGGTCGAAAAAAAAGTCAAAATCAAATTTTTGTGATCAAAATTGATGAAATTAGAGTTAAATTAGAATTACAATTATAAATTGGGTTTAACAAGTTAAAGTTAATTTTGAAACATTAAATTTGTCTTTGATAATAATACATGTTAAATGGATGTGTTTATTGGCAAAAGAGATAAAACACCTAAACCTAAATTAATAAAGATTGTAGGTGAGGAACCTCCTCAAAAAACTATATATGGTGTCGGATGTTGTAACTTATAAAACAAAAGGTGATGAATATAAGTTTTTATTATTTCGGTGTTCTGGTGCATTTCTTTCAATTTGATGAATAAAACGACTCATTTTACTTAAAAAGTAATGAATAAAAAAATAAAAAAATAAAAATAAAAATTATTTAATACATAACTTTAAGTTAAAGAGTAAATTATGGGAGGGTGTCTCAGGTGAGGGAGTTTTCAGGCGATCTGACTCTGGAATTTTCGAACATATAATATACTACTCTCTCCGTTTCAAATTAACTGTCGCTTTGGGAGATTTTTCTTGTTTCAAATTATCTGTCACTTTAGAATTTCAATGATGCATTAATTACTATTTTCTCAATTTTACCCTTATTACTATTCAATAATTGACTAAGAATTAATGGAAACATCATTAATAACATGGATATTTTAGTCATTCTTTATATTTTTTTCTAAAATCGACGCACATTTATTAGTTTTCTTAATATATGCGCATCAACCTAAAGCGACATATATTTTGGCACGGATGAAGTAGTATGGATCGGTGCTTGAAAGTTGCAGGAAATAATTTGCGTACACATTACTATAAAGAGAAAGGATATATACATAAAATACATATCACATGTCACTCTCTATTCAACAGCACCAACATCAACATTATATTAGTGTGGATACATACATAAAATACATTAATGATGAGAGTTTAATTCAAACAAAAGGCAAGTCAATTACGCTCACACTCCCACTTTTACATGCATGCTTTCATTTTTTATTCATTATATTATTATTTTTATATCTCACACACTGGCCCACATAGCACAGCAATAATTTAAAAACTAGGTGGTGGATACATATTTATATGCCAATATTCCTGTATGTGCTGGCAAATTTTCTTAGTTTTGAGGCTTGGCTTGAGGTTCAGCATCCACCTTCTGACCGGCGAAGCTACAGCACCGGCAACCACCTCTGTAGTAGTTCCGCCCACAGCAGCCATAGCGGCAGTAGTTACCGCGACCGCCCCCATAACCACCACGGCCGCCTCCATAACCACCACGGCCGCCCCCATAACCACCACGTCCGCCACCATAGTTACCACCTCCTCCGGGATATCCACCACCGTAATTACCGCCTCCTCCGGGGTATCCACCACCGTAGTTACCACCATATTTGGCATCGTTCACTGCAGCTCCATTTGTCTTCTCAGCTGAATTAAAAGCCCCACACAATATAATTAAGCAGACTTTAATTAGTTAATCATTTCTTTTTTGTTTTGGTATAAGTTTGATATTTCAAATAAAGAAGAATATAACATCATGTGTCATATGCAACAAGTTAAATACATGTTCTCATTTAAAAATTGAATCCTCCCTTGTCAAATAAAGCTATCATTAATTTTTCCGAACTGTTTTTTTAGACTGTATTAGTGTTAGTATTAGTATTAGTATCTAATAAATAATACAATGATAGTCGTTTGTTCTAAAGTTGACTCTACGTTTCAGAATAAAATTTTGACTTGTAAAATTTTCTTAAAATAGTTTCTTGTTGCATAACGTACTGCTGCATGTACCTTAAAAATTTCGAGTAAATATTTTTAGTAATTAATTGGTAATTAGAAATATATTTCGAACAATACGATACTTACAAGTGTCAACGGTAGTGGAAGTCTGGGCGAGATCCCTAGCTGCAACTTCTGATGATATGAAAATTACAACCATAGCCAAGAAAAGTACCAGAAAAACTATTGCTTTGGAACCCATTTTTGTTATAGACTGATAACTGAATGAGGAATGTGTTTGGTTTGGCTTCTATATTTATAGACAAACCAAATGTAACACATAATTAGTAATATGTATTAATTATTAGATGAGAGTTGAAGATATAATTGCAGTAGGCCCAAAAAGAATTGGTTGGTTGTTGAAGAAACGTCTTTATTTGAGTTCAAAGTCCACCTTATCTAGATTCATTACTCTCATTTCAGGCAAACTAAATATTCATATATTATCACCAAATCCTTATATGAGCATGTATGTTCCTGTATATATGTTGGTATACAAAAAAAAAAAAAAAAAAAGTGGGGCCTTCATATATTATTTATTATAGGGTAAATTACAACCATCCCTGAGGTATGGTCAAATTACAAAAACCCCCCTCATGTTTGGGTAATTACAACCACCCCTCAACTATAAATATTTTTACACGTCCACCTTTGCGGTTTCAAATTTAGTGGAATCTTCGAGATTATATGGAATATTATCACTTTTGTACTCATTTTATCCCATTCGAACTCTACATTTTGAAGCAAGATGATCATAATACGTGCTTTTTAGCTTGTATATATCAGATTGTGGTGCATCAAAAACTGTATTTTTACCGAAAACGACTACAAACTAGAGCACATTCCACAAAATCTAGATGATTATGTAGAATAAAAAAACCATAAGACTGGAGTTGTAAGAAAAAATCATAGTTGAGGGGTAGATGTAATTATCCAAACAAGAGGGATTTTTTCGTAAATTGACCATACCTAAGGGGTGGTTGTAATTTACCCTTTATTATATTAAGCCCATTAATTTCTCATCAACTATCCATGTGTGGTGTCATAATAAGTAATATCTACCATATATATTTTCAGACCCCGCTGTACTGCCCAGTATTACTAAGGAGCAATGTTTTGAAAACCGGACCGGACCGGCCGGTCCAACCGGTTGAACCGCGAACCGGCCATCCAGCCGGTCCGATCCGATGCATAAACCCAAAAGGGCCAAAAACCCGAGTCGATTGATGAAAACCGGAAATTTTCCGGTCGAACCGCCCAAAACCGGCAAAACCCGTCACCAAAAACCGGTTCCATATTAAAACTAAAATGAGAGAGAGAGAGAGAGAGAGAGAGAGAGAGAGAGAGAGAGAGAGAGAGAGAGAGAGAGAGAGAGAGAGAGAGAGAGAGAGAGAGAGAGAGAGAGAGAACTTCATTTCTTCGTGTGTGGTTTGCTGAAAGATTGGTAACGGCAGTGCTTGGGAAAGAGATAGGAGAAGAAAAAAACCAGAGAATATTAACTAGGTGAAAGAGGATGATGGGAAGTGGGGTAATCCAATAGTCTGATGGAGGCGCAAGATTAAGGCTAGAATAAATTAGGGTTTGGGCTTTGGGCTTTTAATTAGTAATTGTATTGAAATTTTCTAGTAAATTATTTTACTATCATAAATTTATTTTGACTATTCAAACTTTATGTAAATAGTAAATATAAGATTCAATTATGCATTTTATTGGTATAAAATTCATGCGTATGTACTAATTTCATTAAAAAAAATTGGTACATTATTTGGGTATTAAATACTTAAAAATGATATTTTATGATTAATACATATACTTTGTGTGCATATTTATATCATTACCACTTTAAAGTCATACAAATAATTAAAAAAATGAAAAAACCCGGTCGGACCCCGGTCGGACCGGTCCAACCGTGACTCAGTTGCTTGTCCGGTTCGATGTCCGGTCCGGTTTTCAAAACATTGCTAAGGAGGACAAGTTGCGGCAGTTGGCACAGTTGCATCCGATTTTAATTCCCTACAAACAATTGTCAATCCGAGTCAACCGGCGCCAAATGCATTAACTTTTCCTCCTTGGTATTCGGCCGGGCAGCTGAGCCTGTACATATAATGAAATTATTATTGTCAAATAAGTTGAAAGTTTAAATTATGTATGAACTTTATTTTATTCCTTATGCATATTATTTAGATGGGGTTATTTGAGATACACTATACTACGGAAGAAAATACATGGGACTAGATATATTCCTAAAATTCATGTTTTGAGATATCCCTTAGCTCTTTTTGTACCGAAAATACTTTTCCCTCACATAAATCAACATATATCATTATCTAGACGTCATTAAGTAATTTCGTTTTATGTATTTTTTTTTTTAAATAATTTTTTTCTCGATAAGCTTACTACGTCGAATATGAATATACATGACTATAATCATATTCTTGTTTCATATTACCGTTTTTTTATATTTTTAACTTAAATTTTATATCTCCTATTATATAGTATATATAGTACAATCATATTTATCTACTTATATTTAAAAAAAAAGGATTATTGCCTATTATCTACGAAAAACTCTAATCAACATTCACAAAAAAAAAAAAAAATCATAATTTGAATATTGTTATGACAAGTCAACTTGTAACCCACAGTAGTTTAGATGAAGAAAAAAAACATGTAAATTCTTCAACTAAAACAACCATCAGCATCATTATACATTAGAAAAACACCTACTGATCTTATATATGACCATACATGACTACATATGACTACATATGATAACATAGATGATTCTATTCAATTGACCTGTTGTTTGCCCATCTTCTTCAGCATCATTGACTTTTGCGAAAGCGGAGGTGGGGACGGCGGTCGCAATTATAGTTTACATAGTCGAACATAACTGTAATCATATTCAACAATAGTCATATTCAAATATGACTATAGTCACTGTTAATGTTGCTGCTGAAACTGTATGTCTTTACATCTGGGAAAAAAAATCAAAACACATAGAGATAGAGATAGAGATACGGGAAGGTGATGACAGCGGCCGTGAACGAAAGAGAGAGTGAGGGGGGGGGGGGGGGGGCAACAATGGTAGTGGTGTACAGATCTGAAAAAAAAAAAAAAAGGGAAATCCAGAGAGAGAAAACGAAAAAGTCATCTTCCTCGCACTCGTTTTGGAAACATGCAACGAAAAAGCCATCTACAAGAGAAGGAGAAGGAGAAGGAGAAGGAGCATCGTCTAGCGGCGCCAACAACTCTTGTTCTTCGCCTCTGGATCGAGAGAGAAAAAAATAGAGATTTGGGTGGGAAATTGAAAAGAGAAAAAATATCAGCAAAGAAGAGAGAGGGGAGGCGTGAAAAGTAGAAGAGAAAAATGATAAATGAGATCAGGGTTCTTCAAGGGTATTTTAGAAAATTAATTTGTTATGAGGGTTAGTTTTAAGGGGAATGGGGTTTTCTCTAATTACGTTTGGGAGGGGAATTTTCCTTAACTGTATTTCGTAGATTAGGGGGGTCTTGCTAATTTTTCCCATATATATACTACTAACTTCACCCGTGTGATGCAGGGAATTGAATTTTTTTAGTGCAAAAGTGAAGTCAATTTTATGTTTAGAGAAGAAAAAGACACTAAACCTAGAATAATAAAGGTGTATGGTTAGGGATTTTCTCACAAAAACACCCTTAAAATAAGTCCACTATAATTTTCTGGTTTTGGGTTGGGCCATAATACATCTGTTTTGGAATATTAACATTTTGATCCATACAATTTCCGCCCATAAAATACAACTACCGACCTTTCTCATCCCTAACCTAATTTCCTTCACCACTCGTTCCAGCATCGCCTTTTTCTTTCTTTGCCTTTTCTTCTTTGTTTTCTAACCTAATTCCGCCGAACCACCGCTCCTTTTTGAAGTCGTCATCCGCTCCTTGCGCATTGCCTTCTTCTGTTTGTTCTCTAACCTAATCCATCAGATACGCGGCGACACCGCTCCGCCTCTCATTCTGAAGCGGCCGCCGGTCCTCGCAAAGAAGATTGGTTTTCTCCTTAATTTATTCTTCCTTGCAAATCTTGTGAAATATTTCTCGCTCCTTTCAAATCCGTGAAAAAATCCTGAAAAAAATATTTTCCAAAATTTCTGAAAGAATCGGAATTGGAATCGGAATCATTTTTTCAATTCCGAAGTAATTGGAATCGGAATCGAAAACCGTTTTATACTTTTGAAAAAAATTGGAAATCTTTCGAAATGGTCATTTTCGATCTGATCCTTCCGATTTTCACCCCTAGTCTAGTCCTATTAAATTATAAATTAATATCTTATCTCAAATGGCCCCAAATATATTTTCCCAAATCGAAATGAAAATGCGAATGAGTTAGCATGGTATCTGATATGCCTAATTGGTCCAATCTAATGGGCCTACAATTTCTTTATATAATAGGTCATGAGCCCAATATTGAAGACCACTACCACCGAGGCGCAATCACCTTCAAGTAAGGTTTGAGCCCAACAATCTCAACTAAGGTATAAATAAAGTTGAAACTCATTCCTTAAGGGACAACCTATTATCTGACTAATACTATAATTCGTATCCTCTCAACCGTTTCTACTATCTGCACGTCTGACTTGAGCGTCGGAGGGGTTTCGCCCGGATCAACCCTGGCCTAGTTCACGTATTTTCTGTTCACAGGTATCTTAGGACCATCTAGCACGTGAGCTTGCTCTCCCAGCGCCTTCTACTTCAACTACTCGTGGTGATCTATTTTTTAGCATCATCAGTATCAATTATAAAGTAGGGGTTTTTGTGCATAAGTCCCTAACTAACCATCTTTATTATTCTAGGTTTAGGGGCAATATCTCTTTCACCAATAAGCCCATCCCTTTAATATTTATTATAAACAAAGGAAAAAATCATGTATATGAAAAAATTACCCCCAACCATTTACACCAAATTCTTCATTGTAACCTCAATTTAATCAATTTTGATCACAAAAATCCAATTTTGACTTTTTTTTCCAAAAACTTTTTTTTTTCAAAACATATTTTTTTGCCGCAGATTTCCGGTGTTGACTTTTTTTTTTTCATTCCGCTGCCGGATTCCGGCGTTGTCTTTTTTTTTCTCTGTTTTTTCCGCCGCCGGATTCTGGCGTTGACTTTTTTTAGTTTTTTTTTTTACGCGCGCCGCTAAACGGTTGACTGTAATTGTGTTGTCATTA